CGAAGAATGCTGTCAGAATGCATCAGTGGTGTTCCAAATGAGTGGTTATTTCTGTTTTCTTGTTAGGAGGGCCTCACATCAAAGTACAGTTTCAAGCCTTACACCTCATGGTCATGGCACTGCCTGATGCCAACAGGGACACAGCTCAGGTATGTTGTATTGACCTCACGTTTTATCATTGGCTCTTGTTGGTCAGAGGAAATGGCTCAGATGGAAAAGTGAAAAGCAAGCTGAGCATGCTGTAAACCTGTTCCCTTCCATGCTCCCGTTGCTCTTCTCCGGAGGAAGACAAGAAAGAATGTAAATCCTGGAGTCTTCCTTGAACATTTCAGTGTTATTCATTCAATCTGTTAGATAGTGAATGTCTACTATGTGCCAGGCCCTGGGCGAGGGTTAGGATTAGGAAAAGCAAACATGGAAGACTTAAGTAGAATCATGTCAGAAATAAACAAGAATATTATGTAAGTTGTAAAATATAAAACTCTGTGATTGCTGGTCCTCAGCTGCCCACCTCAGTCTAGTGGCAAAAGATCTGAGGAGTGTACTTGGGGAGGAATTTTAAAATCAGTGATTTAATTTTTTTAAATATTCATGCCTTAACATTTGCAAATTCAATTTAAAGAATTCTATAATCTCTGAATTTTAGAGCTTACAAGCTAGGAACTTGTCATTGTATGGATTAGGAAAATTAAACTCAGAAAAGTGATTTCTCCATTAACATATGATAGAACATTTGATAGAATCCTGTTCCATAGTTCTTCATCCCAAATATCCCTCCCTTCATTTCAAATTCATTCTGTTGCTGTATGATGGTAAAAAATCAAAGTTTCTCTTGCTATTTTGATAGTGATTCTGTATACGATAGGGCATTTGTTATAAGTATGATAGGTGTTGAGAATCTTTGAAATGAGGTTAGATGAGTTAGAAAGAGCCAATAATTTTGAGGCAAGTAAACATAATTCTAAAAACAAATATGATTCTCTTTAAAAAATATATTTTATTGATTTTTTTACAGAGAGGGATAGAGTTAGAAACATCGATCAGCTGCCTCCTGCACATCCCCTACTAGGGATGTGCCTGAAACCAAGGTACATGCCCTTGGCTGGAATCGAACCCGGGACCCTTCAGTCCGTAGGCCGACCCTCTATCCACTGAGCCAAACTGGTCAGGGCTAAATATGATTCTTAATGCTGCCTCTTATCAGACATTTTAATTTGATGAGGACCCTTCCTCCCACATAGTGAAAACACCTATGTTAATTATATGTTAATTATATCCTCAATCCAAAGATGGGGGTTGGCTATGACATAAGAACATTTCTCTAATACAATTTGGTAATTTTTCAAAAGCTGGAATTTATTAGTTTTTTACTTTTTCTAAGCAATGATCTTTTATCCAAAAAAAATGCATCAGATATCAGATATCTCAGTTAAAATATTATCTATCCTTTCATATAATTGAGGATGTAGTAATTATCAGGAAATTCATTACATTTCTAACAGAAGATCTTCAAAAAACATTATGGAACTTGTGAAGAATCAATCTCTCTCTCTCTCTCTCTGCCTCCCTCCCCTCTCCCCTCTTCGCTCTATCCTTTGCTCTCTCCCATTCTAAGTTGTGACTGGAACTAGATTGATATTGGTGTGGTGTACATAGAAATCAAGAGCTCTGGCTTAAGAATCAGATATCTTCAGTTCAAATTGTGGCTTTGCTACTTAATGAACTGATGCTTGACAAGGCTATCAATTCTTCTTCACCTTAGTTTCTCATCTATAAAACTATATTAATACTGGTACCTACCACACAAGATTTTGAAATATGATAAAAATCAGTGGATATATATAAAGTACTGAGAATAATGCCTGGCTCATACTAAACCCTCAGATAAATATTAACTATTATTATTCTTATGTGCTGTCCATTTTCTCATTACAAATACTATAGCAGAATTCAAACTTGAGAAACTAAAACGCATCTCCCTTCAGGATTTCAGTCCTGTTGGTGAATTTCATAAGGTCTGATAAACATTTATACTTTGTTGGCTTAGTCAAACGGTTATTACGCTTTCTCAAAGCTTTAAAAAAAAATTTTAAAACAGCTGCATGTAAGCATTTCCCTTTGATCTACTGAAGATTCCAAAATTGAAAAACAATGGAAAAATGATATCCACTAAGTAAAATTTAAATTTTTTTCAATTGTGTTTACATTTGGCCTGAGGAATAAGATACTCACTTTTTTAAAAAAATGAATTTTCCTTTCCCAAGAAAACAGTAGTTTTTAACAGTGATGCTTTAAATTAAGAGTTTTTTTAATTACTTTTCTTCAAAATGAAATTACATTACATGTTATTTATCTTTTTTGAGATACAGTATTTTCTAGTCCTACTTTACTATTTAATTTTAATATTTGTCAAAGTTGTTTAAGATAAAAGAAAATGCAAACTATTATTTATAGAAATTCCACTATAATAAACTCCAAAAAAACTATTCACATTTCTCATCAGCACTTTTAAGCAAGTAAAGGGAGCATGACATTTAGCCATTCTGTACTTCTGAGAATAATCTGACAATTTTCCCGAGGCACAGTAAATGGGTACAGAAATGGATGAAGATGCTCATTGGTGCCTTTTGATAATTTACATTAGTGTGACACGATGCTGTATCTTCTCAGGCCCTCATGACATTCTTCAATAAAGTGATTGCCAATGAATCAAAGAACCGAATGAGCCTATGGAACATTTCTACCATCATGGCACCAAACCTTTTCTTCAGCAGAAGCAAGCATTCTGACTATGAAGAATTACGCTTAGCAAACACTGCGGCCCACATCATCCGCCTAATGCTTAACTACCAGAAAATTCTGTGGAAGGTGAGTGGTAGTGTGGTAACCTTAATGTACTCATTTCAAGTCGACCAGCTCCCTGGAAACAATGGCTCCATGAGGAAGCAATGCCCTTAGTCACAGGGAAGAAATATGAGAATATAATCCCAGGTTACCTGTAGCATCGTTATGCATTCTTTGAGGGCTGCTCCTGAACTTGTCCTCTCTTTTTAAATATGAATTCTAATAGTTTTACTAATTTTTACAAGGACAAATGCCACAGTATACTGAGTGGCTATGAATTACCGTAACGGAAGACAGAATCGACTGGGAATGTTTAATTCAAGTGTTTTCCTTCAGGTCAAGCTATTTTTCTTCTCCAGGTCCCATCTTTCTTAATCAATCAAGTCCGAAGAATGAATGAAGCCACCATGTTGTTAAAGAAGCAGCTCCCAAGTGTCAAAAAATTGCTAAGGAGGAAGACCATAGAACGAGAGGTAATAATAAACATGGATGCAAATGTTACAACCCAGGTTTTTATTTCTCAGGGTGAGGCACAAAGTAGCTTGTCGTTTAGAACCAGAAATTTTATATTCTCACCAAATGCCAGTCTTGTGACTATAAACTTTGTGGAAATTGTGTCCATGGCAGAATACTGTGATCTTTTTGTTTTGCTATGCATTTTGGTTGACGTTTTTGAAATATCTTTCTCATGCTTAGTGTTTTATTCTGTCAAGTACTTTAGGCTAAAATGGTTCTCACAAAAATTGAAAGTTGATGTTTTAGTCCCTATGAATTAGATTTAAGAATTTAAAATATCTGATACATAGAGAAGGAAACTTCTTTAGTGAGTGAATTCTGAAAGGATATCTTAGCCTCAGGTTGTTTTGTGTAAATTCATTGCATTCTGAAGAATATTTGCATTAGCACAGTTTGTATAGAGGCGAATAATGGAAAGAGGTGCAAAATATCCTCATGCTAGGATATTTTCCCATTGTTTTCAGACAGAGTGGAAGGGAGGGAGGTGGGGAAAGGAGGAAGAGAGAGAAAGAAAAACATCAATGTGAGAGACATATCGATTGGTTGCCTCCCGCATGTGCCCTGACCAACCTAGCAGGGCTAGGGATCGAACCCACACCAGAGGTACATGCCCTTGACCAGGAATGCAACCCCAACTCTTTGGACTGCAGGCCAGTGCTCTAATCACTGAGCCAACCAGTGAGGGCTAAAAGAATTATCTTTATTGCTTTAATTTAACTTGAGGAAGATTATGAGTGGCAGGCATATCATTTTACCTTGAGGAGGATAGAGAGATACAATGAAACTCACCTTTGCCCCTTAAAGGAATTTACACCTAATGTAGGAGACAGGTGTGTAGAGAGCTAGGGATATGCATTAGGTGCCAGATCAACTGTGCACACAATGTGTAAGGACCATGCAGAGGAGAAAGAAATGTGCTCCAACGTGGCAAATTGTGAACAGCTTCGTGGAAAAAGTGTAATCCGAGCTGCATGTTGAAGGATGGATAGGATTTTGAAGGGAGAAAAGATGGGAAAGCTCATCCAGGGAAAGGAATGGTAAATGCCAAGGTGGTGAGTGCTGCTGGTTGATTTATCACAATCATCATGAATGGCTGTATTCCCTTATTGCTAATAGGCAAAGTGACTTTAGATCAAGTAGAACCAAGACATTTATATATTTTAAAAAATTGTTTTGAGAAAAATTCACATAATAGAAAATTCACCATTTTAATTATTTTGAAATGTACAATTCATTGGTTTTGATGCATTCACAATGTCATGCAACTATCACCATCATCGGATTCCATAATATTTTCATCATCCCTAAAAGAAACCCCTTGCCAATTAAGCACTCATTCCTCATGACTTCCTCTCCACAGCCCCTGAAAAACATTAATCTACTTTTTGTTCTGAGTTTACCTATTTTGGACATTTCATATAAATGGAATCATACAATATATGGTCTTTTGTATCTTACATCTTTCACTTAGCAAAATGTTTTCAAGGTTCATCATATTGTAGCATATATTACTACTTCAGCTCATATAAGCATCTTTTCGTGTGCTTATTGGCCATTTGTATATCTTCCTTGGAGAAATATCTACCCAGATATTTTCTCATTTTTGTTTGGGTTATTTTAATTTTTATTATGTTGTAAAACTTCATATATTCTATATAGAAAGCCCCTTATCAGATGCCCTGCATCTTGGTGATTATTCCACACCGGTCCACAAAGCCTTCTTCTCTGCTTCTTTTGCACGATATTCCACAGACACATCATAATTTATTTAAGCTACCCCATATTATGAACAGTTAGATGGTGTCCAGGCTTTTGAAGAGTTTTATATCAGTGAATAAACTTGTTTTATGTCACTTTTCAAAAATGAAGTATAGTTGTAGGATAAATATGTAGATTTGGAATTGCTGGGTTAAAGTACATATTTATTTTATAATTTGGTAAATATTCCAAAATATTTTCCAAAAAGATTGTACCAGTTTGTACTTCCAACAGCAGCATATGTTTGTCTTTCCAACATTAATCCTAAAAACTAAATGTGTTTTATTTAGGTTACAAGCCCCAAGACTTCAAAGGTACTACAAAAATCACCCTCTTTAAGAAGAATGGTAAGAAAACAAGTAATTTCCTTTCCTCCCTAATTATTAACATCCTACATAGTATTCCCTGGCTACATTCAGGATATCTGTGTATAATTTTGGTCATGGTAAATCCTTCAAACTTGACATTTTTATTGTGACACAACTAAATGATGATTCAAAATGTGTGGTTAGGCATCTCTACACAAGCAGAAATTAGAAGGAAATGTGATTTTTATGATCACAGGTTCGATAACATCAGGGGTAGGGAATTTATCTTACAGAGGCTTCTGGAGAGTTGGGAGGGGAAGGACATGAAATGAACAAGGGTAGCTTAAGAATACAATCTTGGCTGCAATGAAGCAGGGACACTCTGCCCCATTCCAAGTTTACATCCTGTATGTATATTTTCTACCATTCTCTCCTGGTTCTGCTGGGAATGGTAGAATAGTCCTATAAGAATCAAGCCTATTTTAAAATATTTTGTATTCATTTTCTAGTGCTGCCATAACAAAGTACCACAGACTGGATTACTTAAAACAATAGAAATTCACTCCCCATAGTTTTGGAGCCTAAAAGTCCAAAATCAAGGAATTGGTTTGGTCGATTTCTTCTGAGGGCCATGAAAGCAGAACCTATTCTTGACTTCATTTCTAGATTTTCATAATGCCAGCAATATTTACATTCCTTAGCTTGTCGGTGCATTCCAATCACTGCCTCTGTCTTTATATGCATTCACCCTGTGTATGTGTCTCTGTCTCTTCTCCTCTTTTAAGGATAACAGTCACACTGGATTAAGGGCCTTCCCTACCTGGTCTGAGCTTATCTTAGCTATTATATCTGCAATGACCCTATAAATAAAGTCATATTCTCAGATATTGGGGGTGAGGACTTCAACATACCTTTTGTGGGGAACACAATTCAACACATAACATTCTTTCTAGGGTAGATATTAAATCACTTCACATAAACCTACATCAACAATTTCATCTTTTGAGAATATACAGATTTATAATGATTACCTGAAGAGTAGCCAGACCCTCAAACAAATAGAAACTTGTTTCTATTCACCTATAGTTAGAGAATTAATCATTAAAGCACTCAAAATTTTGAAACAAAGGAATTTTCCAATCAATCCTGACAAAACAGAAATTTCTATTAATTAGAAAGCAACATTTTTTAAATATTTTTTTTTATTTTTTAAAATACATTTTATTGATTTTTTTTCAGAGAGGAAGGGGTAGGGATAGAGAGTTAGAAACATCGATGAGAAACATTGATAGCTGCCTCCTGCACACCCGCCACCGGGGATGTGCCCACAACCAAGGTACATGCCCTTGACCAGAATCAAACCTGGAACCCTTCAGTCCGCAGGCTGACGCTCTATCCACTGAGCCAAACCGGTCAGGGAACATTTGTTAATATGTCATTTAGATGGGAGTTCCAGAGTCCCCAAGCCAATTATGTTACATAAAAGCAGAGACATTCTCTTTCCCAATAGCGGCCCACGTCTGCCCTTCACAGTGTTATTAGCACACGTGGAGGAATCAAGTCTCAAGTGTCCATCTGGAGTTCACTTTGGGCTGACTAAAGAAAAGGGATACTTAAAAAGTCATATTTTCTAATTGATTTTTGACTTTTTCAAGTTGATATTAAAATACATTGAAATATAGAACTCTGCTCACAGTAGGCTTATTTAGAATACTAGAGGCCCAGTACACGAGATTTGTGCACTCAGGAGGGGGTGTCCTGCAGCCCAGCCTGCGCCCTCTCACAGTCTGGGAGCCCTTGGGGGGATGTCTGATTGATGGAATAGGCTAACTCCCCGCAGGAGTGGGCCTAAGCCGTCAGTTGGACATCCTTAGCACTGTCGTGGAGGTGGGCCACTGCACTCACCAGGCGTCAGCCCAGCTTGTGGCTGAGAGGCGCTCTCCCTATGGGAGCGCACTGGCCACCAGGGGGCAGCTCCTGCATTGAGCGTCTTCCCCTTGGTGGG